GAAAGGGCAAACAGTGGCAGCCTCCACCTGTCCGAGCGGAATCTGTCGCGAGGAAGGGACGACGGTGACCGCACCAGGAGGGATGGGGGGACTGAGTGGTGTTGGCCGCACGCTGGGTGCTGGGGGAGGGGGCAGATCTGGCCCCAGTACTGACACGAGGTCATTAGGCTGCATGTGCTGTTTACCCCCAAAGGGTGAGTGCTGTGGTTTGTGACAAACCTGTGGTCCGGGCCCCGGAGGGCGCGCAGAAGACTCGACTTGGACGCGTGGAAACCCTGCTAGGCAAGGACAGTGGCTCATTTCTTAACTTGTATCTTCTTCAGCGTTTATTGAGCCCCTGCTGTATGCACATACTGCTCTAGGTCTAGAAAATGCAGAATGCGCTGGCCAGCCTCTCAGCCCAACCGGAGTGACGTGGGTGCATGTGTGTCAGGCCCTGTGCACCCAGGGGCTCTGCTCCATACCCTGGGACAATCAGGATGCATATTCCCAGCAAGTGCCCGGAGGGGGGTGTCCAGCGGGCATCTGAGCTGGGAGGAGGAAGGGGAGGGGGAGGGGGAGGGGGGTTGGGGGGGGTTCCAGGGGGCATCTGAGCCAGGGGGAGGGGGAGGGAGAGTCCAGGGGGCATCAAACGTGTCCAGAGTGTGTCTCTGTTTTAAGACACAGGGTAAGAGTTACTTTCGTTCTCTTCTTCCCTCTTTCAAAAGATTGGAGTTTTCTGGAGAATCTAGGTTTTGAAAGCAAGCGCCTATGAACGGCCTTGGAGGGGAGGGGACGGGGCAGCACGGGAAGTGCACCCAAGGAGTCCATACAATCCATGTTAGCGGGCTCTCTGCAGATACTGAGGACTGATCATTTATTTACTCGACAGTAAATAATTTTTGCTGAGCACCAATCAGGAGCCGGGTTGTGTGCGGAGTGTAGGAGCTACGACAGCCAACCAAACAGCATTCCTGCTGACAGAGAGCTTAGCCAAGAAAACCATAGAGAGAGCAAGGATGGAGACCAGGTGGGGACGCGGGGAGAGCCGGGCACACAGCGTGGCTGGATGCCCTCTCCAAGCCAGGGCTGTGGAGAGCACATCAGGCAGAGTGAGGGGAACGTGCAAAGGCCCTGAGCAGGGAAAGAGAAGCTTGCTCGGCAGCGGAAGGAAGTCAGAGCCCTGGAGCATGCAGGTCAGCAGGCTGCTCTCACTGAAAACAGGGGTGGTGATGCCATCCCCCCCACTGTGCTCTGAGTACAGACAGACCTCTCTTCCTCGAAGAACGTGCGGGTCTCTGAAATACACAGGAGAACCTGTCGTTTACAAAATTATAAAATGCAAGAGCCTGAAGAAAACCTCAGAAGAGCCAGGATGCAACAGAACAGGATGTGGAAGGTTCTGGCGCCCAGGCGCAGGCCACCAGTCGGACATGACAAGGAAACCGGGCAGAGAAGCTCCTGAGCGGGACTGGCGATGCACACGTCCTGGAGAAGGGCCTCCAGGGCTTAGGGCGGAGGACGGAGGTATGGGGTGACAAGGGGCAGGTGACCAAGAGCAAAGTTTCCCCCAGAAAACCCAGAATAACTAGGAAGAAAGCAACAAAACCCAATTTACACTAAAAGCATTCATGCTTGCAGACTGGTTCCTGAACAAAAACCTCCAAGAAGGTACGGCATCCAGAGAAACCCTAAGTGAAAGAAAACTGTACGATACCAACCCTGAAAGCACTCTGGGGGCGGGGGCGGCAGCGGGGCCCGACTGCAGACGCCGGGGCAGCGGGGGGAGGGGGGGCGCTGGACTCCAGACGCCGGGGCAGCGGGGGGGGGGGGGGCGCTGGACTCCAGACGCCGGGGCAGCGGGGGGAGGGGGGCGCTGGACTCCAGACGCCGGGGCAGCGGGGGGGGGGGGGCGCTGGACTCCAGACGCCGGGGCAGCGGGGATTCCGGGCTCCAGGCGCCAGGGCAGCGGGGCCTGACTCTGGACACTGGGACAATGGCGGGGGGCGGGGGCGAACCCCAGACACCAGGGCAGCGCGGGGGGCCTGGACTCCAGACGCTGGGGCAGTGGGCATCCCAACATGCAAATGTGTGCGGCAAGAACCATGAGTTGTGGTTAAAAAAGATGAAAGGGCCTCAGTTTGGAGCCAACTTGGGGCAAGCTTTGTGGCCGGGGGGCAGCTGGCCACGAGTCCACGCCGAGCTCTTTCCGACCCAGTGGCCGCCTGAGACCGGGGCAATTTCATTCCTCTACTTCCTGCAAACGCAGCACACGTGTGTGCAAGGGACACAGCGGGTGCTCGACCCTCCTGGGTGTGAGGGGGCCCCGGTCCTTTTACCGCAGAGGAGCCTCATTCTGAGTCTTACAGAACATCTCACACACACACACACACGGAACTCCAGTCCCACCGCTGACAAACCACGATGGACCCTGGCCTTTAACACCTCGTGCACCCCTTGGTCTTGCAGCATTTGGATGCAAATCCCAGACATCATGTCATTGCCTTCAGAGTCCATTATTTCCTCACTGCCAGTTACACGTAAGTGACGGAGCACTAAATTCTACTCCTGAAATCATCACACTGTATGTTAACTACCTTGCATTTAAATTTAAAAAATAGTGGAAGAAGAATTTAAAAAGCAAAACAAAATATAAGGGCTCTTAAAAAAGCAGACCATGTAAATTAAGTGACTCCTTCATAAATATCAACTCTCTACAGTGTGTGTGTGGACTCCGTGTGGATTAGAACCCAAGCCACGCGTTGGGACGCGTTCATCAGCTTCTTGGGTCTCTAATCACGAGGTTCCCTCTGTTTCCCCCGTCTCTCCCGCCCAAGGTGCAGCCACTGCTCCTCTCCACAGCCCCCAGCCCACCCTCCCACCGCACGGCGCGCTTATTTCTGAGAGAGTGCAGGGGAGGGGCAAGGAGAGAGAGAATTCCAAGCAGGCTCTGCATGGACAGGGCGGAGCCTGACACACGGCTCAAACCCACGAACTATGAGATCATGGCCTGAGCCGAAACCAAGAGTTGGATACTCAACTGAGTCCCTGGGCGCCCGAAGAGCCGCATTTTAAGCAACTACATGGCTGACTCAACTGTTGGGGTTCCCGGAGATGCCTGTGCTGGGATGAGGGGACCAGAGGCAGGGGTGAGTGGTGGCCCCACTGCCCTTCTGCTGAAGTGAAGGCCCGGCCACTCATGCTCCCTGAGGGAGGAGGACTGGAGTCCTCAGTTTAAAATGGTATCTTTCTTTTGTCTGGGGCACAAACTTACTTAACAGTGACAAAACCACCAAAGGCCAGAGGAACGAACGGCAGGTAGACCACGGTGGGTGGGGCTGGGAGACCCCCCAACCCCAGCGGGCACCCCGAGCCCTGCTCCTGCCTGGCTGCCCTCACCTTCCCAGGCTGTGGGCTGGGCGGGTCCCCAGGCGTCCCCCACGGCAGAGCCCCGCCACGGACCGGCACGTGCCCACATGGACATGTGCTCTGGGACACGCCAAGTCCAAGTACGCAGAGGAAAACTCCCAGCCGCAGAAACAAAGACCCCCGGGGCTGTCCGGAGCCCTGGCCAGCACCACGGCCGCTGGTGCACCCCTCCCGGCAGGTGAAGGCGCTGGATCTCCTTGGGATGACTTGTGAGCCCCCGTGGGCGTCCCCGCTCAGTGCAGCTCACAGCTGGCCCTCCAGGCTTCCCTCCCCAGACTGCTGTCTCCTTTTCCCGAGGCCTCGGCCCTTCTTTCCTGGTGACACCGGGTGTTGGCTTTTTTCTTCAAATGCCACCACTGTTACTCTCCTGTGACTCGTCAGAGCACTCGGAACCCCAGGGCCTCCGAGACAGAGGAGCACCCGCAGGGAGGGGCCCAAGCAGCTGAGATGCACACAGCTTGTCCCCGCCCTCCTGCGTGTGCGGAGCCCACGGTGTCGTGCAGGTGTGAGAGCGAGCAGCAGCCCAGGAGCACGGCCCCCCCGCCCAGCCCAGACAGACCCCTGCTACCCAGAGCGAGCAACACTGCGAGAAGATACCGAATTAGCACTGAGCCCTTCTGGAAACCACGGCCCGAGAGGCTGCTGGTCTTTAAGATCTCACACTGACCAGATCCCCGGCTGTGCAGTCTCCTTTCTGTGCCGACAGGAGCGTCAGGGCCAGCCCTCCCCCGCTTCCGAGCGCAGCCGCTGGAAACTCTGGTTGCTGCTGTTCTGGAGAAAAGCAAATAGGCGCACCTACGCTCCCCTTGCTGAAGAGAACAACGCAACGAAGAGGCTGTGGTTCCTACACCCCCTCCCTGCGCCTACGGGGACACCCCCGCCCATCTCCGCCTGTCACCAGCAGTGACCATCATGCCCAATGTGCAGGCCTACTGGGTGCGAGCAGCAGCGAAGAAGGCCCAACTCTTGGAGGAGGAGTCAGGGTCGGGACAACACCCACGGACGCAGTGATCGCCCGGACCCGGCCAGGGCCGCGGCTCCACCCATCGCTTCTCAGGCGAGTGAGTGATGTAACCAGACACCCCTGCTGCAGCCGAAGGCCACGTGTGCGGCACACCGCCGTACCGGACACGCTACTTCCAACTAATTAGTCCAGGAAACAGGGAGGGCGCGAGGCTGCTTGTGCCATGGATGGAGACTGGAGAGGGGACGTCTTTCACTCCCGGTGCTAATTCAACAAGGACGTGTCTCAGCAACACGTGACGGAACAGCGCAGGCCCCGGTCCAGGCCGGCCTCCCTTCTCCACAGGACGAACCAAATCGGCCGCAGCGCCGTGAGCACATCCTAGGTCACCTGCGGCCCAGAGCCCGGCCAGCACCACCAGCAAGGGTGCTAAGGGGCCAGGCCAAAGGCAGCGGGAAGAGGAATTCACCCCCTGCACCCACAGCCTAAAAGGAACAGCCTAAAAGGGTAGGCTGGGTCGTCTATTCCCCCGGGCAGCCTCCTAAGGCCTGACCGGGCACGCCGAGCGACCTGACACCCAGTGTCCTGCGCCCTACAGGCGGTGGGGGGCATCGCACCAGGGAACGAGTGTACAAAAAGGAGTTTTATTAAATGAAAGAGAAATCTGCTCGGTGGGTCAAATGCGAAATAGATATACAAAAACTTTACACCCGTGTCCTGGAGGAGGAGGGCCCCGTGCGCCACCCGGACCCGCGCCCGCCCGCCCGCAAGAGGCTGTGAGGGGCGTGGCGATGTCTTTGGCACACTGCCTCCAGGGACACTGTCCCTTAGAAAAGTAGACTTTCTGTAGTAAAACCTCTAAAAACACCTATTTCTGCAAAATTATGTGTTTTTGTATGTGGTGCTCTGCAAATATACACGTCTTTCTGGAGGAAAGGAGACCCCATCCAAGGGCCCACGCGGCCGGGAGCCATCTGGGGACGGAGCGAGACGCACACGTCCGCCGCGTGCCCTGCAGGTCACATGAGGTCGTTGAGCTCCGCCTCCAGCGCCGCGGCCATCTCGTCCGCCTCCGAGCTGCTGCCCTCCTCGTCCTCCCCGCTGGTGTCCCCGCTGGACGCGCTGCCGGCCTCCTCCTCGGGCAGCTTCCGCTTGTGGCCCCTGCAACACAGGCGCATGCTGTGACACGCTGGCATCGGGGGCGGGCGCACACCGGCACACACGCACCCGGGACAGCACCTGGGACATGCACGCACACCAACACACATGCACACACGCACCCAGGACATGCACACGCACCAGCACACATGCACACAGGCACCTGGGACATGCACACGCACCAGCACACATGCACACAGGACATGCACACGCACCAGCACACAGGCACACACGCACCCCGGGACGTGCACCAGCACACACGCGCCCCGGGACGCGCACACACACGCACCAGCACACATGCACACAGGACATGCACACGCACCAGCACACAGGCACACACCCACCCTGGGACGTGCACCAGCACACACGCGCCCCGGGACACAACACGCACCAGCACACATGCACACAGGACATGCACACGCACCAGCACACAGGCACACAGGCACCCCGGGACACACATACGCACCAGCACACATGCACACACGCAGCCGGGACAGGCACCCGGGACAGGCATGCACACCAACACACACGCACACAGGCACCCAGGACACCCACACGCACCAGCACACATGCACACAGGCACCCGGGACACGCACCAGCACACCAGCACACACGCACCAGCACACATGCACACAGGACATGCACACGCACCAGCACACAGGCACACACGCACCCCGGGACGCGCACCAGCACACAGGCACCCCGGGACGCACACGCACCAGCACACATGCACACAGGCACCCAGGACACACACACGCACCAGCACACATGCACACAGGCACCCAGGACACGCACCAGCACACCAGCACACACGCACCAGCACACATGCACCCAGGACATGCACACGCACCAACACAGGCACACACGCACCCTGGGACGCGCACCAGCACATAGGCACCCCGGGACGCGCACGCACATGCACCAGCACACATGCACACAGGACATGCACACGCACCAACACACAGGCACACACACACCCCGGGACGTGCACGCACACGCACCAGCACACATGCACACAGGCACCCAGGACACACACATGCACCAGCACACCAGCACACACGCACCCTGGGACGTGCAAGCACACGCACCAGCACACACGCACCCCGGGATGCGCACGCACACGCACCAGCACACAGGCACCTGGGACACGCACACGCACCAGCATGCACAAACCCGGGATGCGCGCACACACACACCAGCACACATGCACACAGGCACCCCAGGATGTGCACACGCACCCCTCCCCCGACACGCAGGCATGCACTATGGGCTGCATGCATGCTGCGCAGTGCTGTCCTTTGGGGCCATCGCTGCAAAAGTGCTGTCACAGTTTCACTGTGAGAAGGAGCTGGATCTGGTGGCCATGCCCCAGAGATGACCCAGCAGTCACAGGGTCAGGGAGGTGACAGAACAGCCATGACCCTGGGGCACACGGGGCAGGCCTGGAGGGCGCACTCCTGCTGTCGCGCCCGTCCCCTCCTCCCCGGGAGCCCTTGCAAACTGCCTTCTCCCCAGAGCTCCAGACGCCGTCACCCCGATCGGCCCCAAGAAGAACCACATGCGAACAAACACAAAGCACGGTGGGAGAGGGCAGCTCGGTGGTAGGAACTATTGGTGCCACTTTGCAGACACGGAAGCCAAGCCACCTCCCAGGGCACAAGACGGGGCCGTCACCCGGTCCGGCCTAAAAGCCCCGCTTTCCTCAGGTGGCCATCAAGACGAATGACCCCGACGACGAACTGAAGCTGCGAGGGGACACGCTGTTCCACACTGACCGCCAGCCAGGGCAGCCGCCTCCGCTCTGGGGACAGTGTTGGCAGACTGGGACCAGAACGGGCCCGCGGCTTCAGTCGGCCAGCGGCCAGCGGCCAGCACAGCACTTCCCCCCCAGGAGGCGCCCGCTGGTCCCGAGCGGCGCCCCCACGCTGAGGAAGACCGGCCTGACCACATGTGGCCGCCCCAGGTCTCCCCTCACACAGGGGCACGCGCGCCTCGCAGGTCAGCCCCCCGCCCCGTGTGCTGTGTGGTGGGGGTACAAGCATGCCTTGAAGACTTTCTGGATCTCACACACACAGATGGCAGCCACACACGTGCGTGTAGATACCGGGGCACACGCAGGCTGGAGACCACGGGTGCTGGTCGTAGGAAAGCCGCAGAATTGAAGAGAAATCCCGCCAACGAGAGCAGACGGACCCACGGAAGACACTTTGCTGACTGACCACCGTCCTCCGAGAAACAGGATGTGCTGCAGGGGCGGAGGCGCCGCGGAGCCTGCCGGGAGCTCCCGCGAGGCCACTCGCAGAAGCAGCAGCCCCTGCACCGTCCCTCCGCCCTGGGCTCTACCCTGTGCCGCCAGGGCAGAACTGCCTCGTCCAACTCATCAGAGCACTTTATCACATGCTGGGCATTCGGTCCAGATTTCAAATAGCTTATTTTCACATCGACTCAGTATTTCTCAAAAACACGTTTAAATTGTTACAGAAAACGTGTTGGGCTCAAAACTGAAGTGGAGAGTGGGTTTCTCTCACAGCATCTGACAATTAAGAGACACGGGTTGATCGATTAGGAGAGCTCTGGAAAGTACACAAGTAAGAACAGTGTAAAGGGGCATCTGAGCTCAGCAATGTTTCAGGGAAGTTACCCCAAACACTAGGCCACACGGCCTCCTTTGCCCTTGGCCCCCCTGGAGGGCAGCTCGGCCTCCAGGTGCACCCAGTGCAGCCTGTGGAGACGTGTGCGTGGCACCAGCTCTGCGCTCAGGGCCTTTCCGGTGTTAGTTGAACACGGGATTCCCGGCAGCGCCAATGCATTCAGGCACAGGAGCCACAAAGCGCCCTTCCTGGTGCGAGGCGGGGCGTGTGGTGGGCCTGCAGTCGCGCCTGCCAAGAGGGTCCTGGAGACCTCATGCCCGGCACACGTTCGCACGGAAGTGGCTGCTGGGCCCCAGTCCAGCGGCTCACGAGCCCCAGCTCTCTCTGGGGACACGTGGTGTAGAGCCTCCCCTCCCCGATCTCATGAGGTGGCGTGTCCAAGCCTTCAGTCTCAAGAGCTCTCTTTCCGAAGCACAGACCGCAGTTATTTTTCAGGTGTGTGCTGGAATATATTTGTGCTTTTCACGCTCTGAATGGCGAGAAGTCTTTGGACTATCAGTACACAAAATGAAAAGTGACCGTGTATCCCAAGGTCACAAAGATTTGTTTTCTTCCCGATCTGTGAGTTGGCTTTTGAATACGTTTCCGAGGCAGGGCTGAGATGAATTCTACATCTGGACATCTAACTATGGCAGCACCATTTACTGAAAAGAAAACTTAAAGAAACGTCTATACTAATACATATGCAGATATAAGCCTACAAAATTTTGAAGACAAGAAACCCCCCTAAAAGAGAGTCGTGAAAGTCTCTGGGCAAAAGAGAGCACAAGCAGAGCCCCAAACCTGAGGTCAGGAAACTATGTGCAAGACTAGGGCACGTGTGACCCGAGCCTATGAAATGGAACACGCTTTCGCAAACTGGTGACACAATAAATAACCTGAGAGAAACGCTCCCAAATCAGAAAACAGGAACTGATAGAATAAACTCAAAATGGACAAAAACCCTGAAAACGATACCGGGGAATGTAGCTGAGGGGATCGGTGTGACTGCTCAGGCTGAAAAGTGAACAAGAGGCCGGCACCCCGAGGTCCAGGGAACGGCATCGGTGGCCGTGGCACGTGGGCTGCGTGGCCCGTCCAAGCACCCGTCTGCAGGGCCAACATCAGCCTGAGGACACAGACAACTCAGCAAACAGTGAATTTTGGGTAAGATATCCTGAAACAAAAGCTATTTTTATGCACAATTACTCTGAAGTCTCTTGGGGGACTCCTTTTGCTCAGTGGTGACAAAACAGAGATGTGTTTAGAAATGACACGCAGACGTAGATGAGACAGACACTGGTAAAAATGTCAGGTGGCCACTTAGCTCCCATAAAAGGGGGTCCGTCCTGTTCAGGCTACTGTGAACACCAACAAGAATAACACCCCCTGGGCACCGCCCAGGAAAAAGCTGGTGGGCCCAGGCCTCACAGGGACACAGCTGGGGTCACAATGCGTGTGCGGCCCATGGTCCCCAGGCCTGTAGGAACACGTCCCGTCCCGGCTGCTGGTGAGCGGCACTGGTGTATCTATCCAGAACAGCAGTGACTCTGAGTGCACTTACTTAAGAGAAGGCAGGAAAATACCGGCTGCGCCCCACCCTCTGGGCACCCAGCCCGGGGCCCACAGAGTGAGGCACCGCGGTGGGACAGTGAAGTCCCGGCCTCCTTCCAGGGTGCGCTCACCACTGTGGGCTCCCCGTCACAAGGACGCGTCACCCAACTGAGGGCACGCCACCTAATCGAGCTGCGCTCTCCGGTCAGCGCGGCACAGCAAGGTCTCTGGAAGTCACAGGCCCTCCCCTTCTCCCCCCCCCCCCCCCCCCCCCCCCCCCCCCCTAACCCCCCCCCCCCCCCCCGGGTACACAAAATGGGGGTAATCCTATTTTATAATCCTCAACTCATAACAGACTCCACCTTTGGTCCATGCATGGCCTGCTTTAATTTTCTTCATNCCCCCCCCCCCCCCCCCCCCAACGCCTCCTAAGGCACATGGTCTGCTCTTCGCCTGAGAGCCGGGCCCACATCTGCTCCCCACTTTCATCATTTTCACAACTTGAAGCAAAAAGCAAAAGCAGAGGAGACAGTGGCCATCAGGGACACGGGCCCCCAGGCCCAGGGAAGAGCCGGACCCCCTGCTGAGGAGAGACTGGGAAGCCATCGAGAGCCTCGAGGCAGGGAGCGCCTGCTGGCAGGGCCAGGTGGGGACAGGAGGGACCCCGAGGGCAGCGCCAGGGCAGGGGAGTCAGCCGTCCAAACAGCCGTCTTACAACAGCGATGCTGTGGGATAACGGCTTCTATGGAAACACGTGACCCGCACTTGCAGAGCGTCTGGGACAGCAGCCGCCGCACCTGGAGGCTCACTGCACAAACG